AAGTGGCATAGTAGAGTTATCTTCGCGAAGCCCATAGATTAATCAATGATTACCGTATCCCCCCGAAGTGATAATTGACCTGTCCCTTAGTAGTAGGAAAAGCGACCTAAGCTTTAAAACATCCGCCTGCCAAATCTAACCGCCTCTTTCGATATGGTCGTCCAGTTGCTGAAAGAAAACAAGATCGGTTTGGTCCCAAACCGCCCGTTCTCAGTAGTTTATGCAAATGAAACTAAGCGAGTTCGAAACCAACCTTTCGAGCAAAAGCTTTATGAAAACTATTGTATTTTTTTTTAAAATTGATATTATTTTTTTTAATACAGTAATTATATGATTTTTTTATTTAATTATGATAATAACATTAATAGAAAGCTATTTTATTTAATTTCATATCGATTCTTTTTAAATTAATTTAATAAAGTTAATTTATGGCGTAAATTAGGCCTTATAGGTAGATGAATAGATAGATAGATAGAAATTGCGATTTGAACGACTTGAACAATTTCATTAATTAAATAAACTTATTTTCACTTAAAACTCAATAAATATTAAACGCAAACTGATCCTTGAAGCGAATTAATGATAAAGGCACTGCAATTATTACAATTAAGAAACAGCTCTAAACACCATAATTCGGATTGATTGCTGAAAAGAACTAATAAAATTATCTACAAGACAAACATTGAGCCCTATATTACGATTTTCTCTAATTCAAAATCTACATTCTAATTATTTATTAATGAATTAAACTTACATTATTCGTTGATTGTATGGAGGGTCAATATAAATAATATAAATGTAATAAACGCAATAATATAAATGTTTGTTTACAATAATATAAATGTGTGTTTACAATAAAATAGCAGGTTTAAACTAATATGCTCAGAAAGCATAAGTAATAGTACGTGGGTATAACAAGTTTAAGCATAGTTTAAACCCCAGAATTTGTGTATGTGCATGAAACAGAGTTTGAGTGTATTTCAAACACGAACTAAATTGAGTAGAATATCTCTAATTAAACCTAGTTGTTAATAATAGGTTATAATTGAACACTAATCTAATATTATCGATAGAAAATAGATACATTTTTAAAATTGTAAACAAAATCCATTTTAATGGAATCAAATGAAAAATAAATAAATAAAAAACAGTAAATAAGAAAATAAACCTAGTAAAGTGATTCAATTTAAGGTTCAACCACAATCACAACAGTCTCCGCTTCCACAACCAGGACCGCCACCGCCATCAACACGTTTCAAGAGGTCAAAAGATTTAACTACAAATGAAAATATTATTAGAATTTGAGGAAATAGGTTTAATAATTTTATTACTTTCTCTTACTAATCGAAATACAATAAACTTGTTATTCCAATTAGTGAGAGTATGTAACTTAATATAACTGTGAAAGATAGAAGTTATGAATGATTTTAGAATTCTTGTTACCTTCATAGAGAGGTGACGCATGAATTGACAGACAATGAACGATACAGATAAGAACGAATAACCAGAAAATATTTTTCATTGTAGAATTTATTATTTAATAATTTAATTTTGAACTTTATTACTTTCTTTTGATAAAATCATATTTATATATTTGAATAAATGATAGACGTGTCGCAATCATTACCTTTTCTCTATAAATATTCTCGGTATTTTCCCAACAATTATTTGACCGTTAATCAGTCCATCTAATCTATTCTAGACTGTAGAATAGATAAAATAAATTATGAGGTTAAGCTGTTTTCATTCATTCTGGGACAGCTGATAAAACATTGACCGAATAATTGCTACTCTTTTCACAATTAATTTCCGTTTTTTTTATTGTTTGTAATTACATAGTAATTTAGCAAGCAATGAAAAGCGGACAAAAAATATGAAAAAGGTAGTAACTTTGTTATTTGGTAAAAATGACGTCACACTGCCACATCGGATAACACCATTATTGGATGTTACATGTCAATAACTTGTTTATCGGTAAAAATAACTCCCGTTATTGGATATTTCACATCCAATAACTATATATTATCTTCTTAACATTGATTATTTTGAATTGTGGATAATTATAATTTATGTATGGATGAAAAAAAGCCGGGTAACAGAATAACGTCTTAATCGTTGGACACGGACGTCCATGGACAATGTTCAATGTCCATGTCCACATGATCATTCTGCATAAGTAATGTACATGGACAAATGTCCAATAAAATGATTGGACATGGACATATGTCCATGGACATGTCCATGGACAATGTCCACTGTCCAAGCATGCTATTGGC